TGGAAGCCAGTAAGCAACTAAAAGTTCTAGTGCTTGCCAGAGTAATCTTATCCCAGTGATCCACATCTGTTGGTTCAACAAAATGGGGGCTAGAAATGTCATGAGAATAAGATCTCTCTACAGAGCCCCATAATTCTGCTTCCAGTCTCCTGGGGCAGCAGCAAGAACTGAGGTGAATAAAAATGGTAAATAGTATTCACAGGAGGAAAAATTTCTCTGTAATCACAGGAGCTTTGCATAGAGTGTCATTCTTGACTTTGAAACTGCAAAACATTTGCCTTACGTTTGCCTTGATTCTGGTTTATATTTTTTACTAAAACATACATCAGATATTTTCCCCAGTGTAGTTCTTGCAAAAATAACAAGCTCTAAAGCTTGTCCAGTATGCTTCAGCAAACCAAGCAGTAACACTCACTGCACTGGACCATGACCATATGTACATGCAGGGCTGTCTTTTTATTTTCCATTCCGGTGTTCAGACAGTGTCACAATGTCTTTGATACAAATGATTTCATTGACTTAATAGTTGATTGTGTACCATAGAAGTTTGCAATAGCCTCGGAGGTCATGTTTAATGACACTGTTTTGCAGAGCCCAGCCAGTGCCTTCAACATGCACGGCTCTCCATGTGCTTTGAGCTGTACCATAATCCTCTTCGTGCCCTAGATAGCCCATAGCCTACTAAGTGGGAGAAGATTCATGAGGGAGTATCCTCACAACCCCACTGGAGACATGGGATCTGTCAGGCAGGACAGTGGGTACCTTTGCATTACTTTGTGCCACTGGAGTTGGTAGAGATTTTACATATTGCATTTCAGCTTTTTTTTTTCTGCTCCCACTGCCCAGATAATTCAAGCAGGATCTAGCAGCTGACACAGAAGCAATCCTCATGGCCTATCTAGACAAAGAGATGAACTCTTTTTGTCCAGGGGTCTACATATTCTAAATATAATATCTGATCTACTAAATCAACTTCTTGGCTAACCTATTGCTGTAGGAAAAAATAGGTGATTTAATTGCTGATTTTTCAGGCATTTCCTGCATTGAACTCTGTCTAGAACTTGACAGTACTCATTGGGAAGACCTGGAAAGGAAATTTCTGTAAGGTGGAGACATTTATTTATAACTGGTATAAAAATAATCTGGTTAAAACTGGGTTTAGTGTCTCATGCAAAAGAGTCTTGAAGAGTCAATTAGACATGCACAAACTAACGAACTGCAAAAAAAGGCTTTCCCTCCATTAAATGCCTCTCCGTAATCATCAATATTCTTAAAAAGTGTAATGATTTCTTATCAGTGCTTGAATGAACCGTAAAACTACCTTTTGAAATATTGATATTTCCACAATTTTGAACACAAGAATGTTTTCCCTTCTATATAGAAGCTGACGGGCCATTGACTTGCAGTATATTTTATTCCTCCTGGAGACCATGCTGTATAATGCAAATAAGTACTCACTTAGCCTGCATTTTTCTTCTAACAGGTGTGTGAGGTTCCTTTTGTTTCACATGCTTTAGCTTTTGATTTAAGGCTTAATCAAGGCATTCTCTGCATGGGGTGATAGCTATCTTCATCTTTGAAACGGAAAGCAGAAACATTTCACAAATGGTTTATGCTCACATTTGTGAGGACGCTTTATCAACATCAGATCTAAGGGATGATTTTCATCTGGGCAAATCATGGTAGCTCAGTTAGTGTCAATGAGCAGCAGTGATTTACATGGCTGAATTTCTGGATCCTGCAACACTCAGCATCACAAAGGAAAATACAGCCATAGATGAGAATCGTGGAACATATGTTATACTGAACTTCCTTATTCTACAGGGGATTATAAGCATGGTTGGTTTCAGAACTAATATCTACAGGTAAATATCTATCTAACGAAAAGTCAGTGGGATGGTATTTTCTTCATAAAATGCACTTCCGTCATCTCTGAAAGAATACCAGACTGACTTTCCTAACAACCCATATCAGTCAGAAAGACATATAGGAGTGTCAGAAACTCCCTATTTGGCAGACAGATTGATATTTATGAAATACAGTATTTCCATTTTTGCTTTTCAAATTTCTCATGTGTGCGGTTTATTTAATGCTGTGTTATACTCTAGATGACAAATTAAACATGTAATACATCAAAAGAAAGCATTAAGTAATTTAAGGTTTCTTTTATTTCTAAAGAAAAATTTACTTTCATTTTGGAAGAAAGGTAGATTTTGAAGACTCCAGGTCCTGCATACAGTAGATTTCTCCCTCTCCAATCTGCTCTGCTAATGACATCAAGTTGGTTCCCCCTGTTTTTTTTTGGTTTTTTTTTAAGGAAGAAAGCATAAGTAACATTGACTGAAAATCCTTAATGATGGAAGCAAAGGAAATGATAGGCTGGGCGAAGAGCCATCCGTCCCTGGTGTCTCATGGTGATTGTCTGTGAGTTGCCGTGCCCCAGGAGTTCCTACTTCCGTGCTGCACGTGCCTGCCCCTGTGCTATAGTCCGTGGGCTCCTGGAAGATGCCGCTGCAGCTGTCTGTGGAGCCATCTTGCAAAGTGAGTAACCAAAATTTTGGATTTAAAGCTACCTTTTCATTTGTGTTCTGGCACAGACAATGCTGTACCTCACTCTGGGGTAAGTCTCTCAGTGCTACAGTTGAGTTTCTGCTGTTGCCACTTTTGGTGAACTTGCCCTAGTATTAAAAGCGTGTTTGTGGAAAAAGAACAGTGCAGAAATGTGTGTTTCTTATCCCAGTCTGGACTGAAGAAATCTGCCAGTTGCCTAGAATACTCATATAATTGTAGACATACCTTTATCTCTAGTCTTATAACTACATGACAGGAAAATGCAAATCCTTCACTATGCTATGATTTAACAGCAGGACTCACTGAAGCCTTACAATATTTATTAGGTCTTTTATTTATTGTCAGTTGCCTCCTTTTAAATATGGCATGGACACCCACCAACACGTGCATTGTATTTTACTTATATCAGTAGGTGTGGATCATTTTCCAGAACAAGTAAAAAGGGTTTTAAAAGGTGTCTGTCATCTGCGAAGCTTTTTATTAACCAGTGTCAGCCACTGGAAATTATGTACAAACTAAAGCCAATGGAACAAAAGTTAATTATCTAGTACAGCTATTGTTATTATGTAGAGGAGCCAGCCCCTATTGATTAATGAGTCAGTGCTATGTTTGCTCACAGGAATATTAATATCTTGTGCACAAGAGAAGTCATTAAAATGAGCAAGGAAGACCTTGACTTTAAACTTAAAGTGCACATTGCTCTAGTTATCTGAATCATTTTGTCAGGTATAGCATCACAGTTATAAATTATTGAAACAAGTAGTTATTGTAAAGATAGTTCACCTACCCTGTTTTAAATTAAACAAGTCGATACGCTTTTCCCATTATGTTCTTCATCGTTACAATTAGGAGACTTTAGGTGGACAGAAAAAGAGTTAGGAGATTGGATAAGACTGTAGTGTGTGAGCCTTTGCCTCACCTAACCCCTCACAGCATGAGAAAACTGAGTAATACTGTGTCCATGCTGAGCTGATGGAAAGGGTGGGTGTAGTGGAAAAAATGCAGGATGGGTCAAGAGAGATCTCTCACAAAATGACTGCAGAGCAGATGGCCTGATAATAATTAGCAAGTAGGCATTAAGGCATATTTCAGAATCCAGATCCAACACATTCCCTCTTCTAATATTCCCAAAGCCACCAAATTATGCACTGAAAAACCTACATTACTATTTTATGAAAATGTATGTTATGGCATTAAGAATATAATAATACTTGTCTCAAAATACAATTGCACCTGCTTTTACATCATATTAAGACCTCAAACTTAAAAAGTCAGCATGGATCTACAAAGTTGAGGTCCAGGATTCCTTTACACTAATGCTAAGTTACATCACTCTGACAGAGTAGAGGGACATTTAGGTGGGAGTGTATTTTGTTATATCCAAAGTACATGCTATTATCAAGAGCAAGCCAAAAGCAGTCCTGGTATAAATGAGAATCGGGTGTCACGTAACCTAAGAGGAGAAGATATCAAAAGGGAGTATAATTTAATTATGTTAATGTATAAGTAAAACTAGGGAAAAAAAGGTTAAAACTTTAAATTATTGAAAATATTAAGCAGCATTTTTGGGATTTTTTGTGGGTATATTTTAGGTAATGCAAATTTATTTCTGTAAAGATGCAGACGTAATTTTGAATCTACACATTGTGTCTCCTTAAGTTTAACAGATTACTCCTGTACATCATGGTGAGCATATGTCTTGGGGTCTTGCCAGAGAGTATTAATCCATCCAGAATTAAATTCCATTCTTGGTAAAATGGATCTGTGGGACCAAACCTGTATCTCTAGAGACCTGTGAGTCTCTATCAAGATGAGTGGGCAGTAAACCTCTCTCTTTCTTCAACATAACACATTTCCAGGACCAACTGTTTCTTTATTTGGCTTGCTGTCATGGCAGAACGAGAAACAAATCTCCAGAAGTGGATGATCAATAAAAAACTGTCCAGAGGATAAGAACAGAAACAGCTAGTGGTCTGGAAAACATAATCTACTAGGAAAGATTGAGTGAGTGGTGTGATTTAACCTGGAGAAAGAGACTGAAGGAGTGTAACAGACTTCAACAAATATGAAAAAGTTATGGAAAGGAAGGAGGGAATTACTGTGCTGTGTGCTCAATTTATATAAATAATCGATTTTCAAGGGTAGATAGATCAAAGTGTAATCTGTTTAAACTATAGCATGGAAGATGTCAGTTAAGAATGATTGGAGGTAGACTGCATGGTGAGGTCAAGGCGATTCCTCCCCTTTTTCCTTTTGTGTTCCATTGTTTTAAAGCTTTTTCCTCATGCTGGTCCTGCAACAGAGGATGTGAATGGTTTGTAGGAGGAATATAGGCTGTCTAGAGAGTTGCAAGGTAGAGGGAATTTGGCCTCTTCATCCCACTTCCCTCTCTGTTCCAGCAACCTCTTTAGCAGGGCCTGAGGCAATGTACAATATTGCTGTGCCGTGAGTCTGGATGTGGCTGACCCAGAGAGCCTCACAGGATGCAAGAATTCAACTGGGGGGACACACAGGGGAGAGCAGGAATGATTTTTTTAACTGGAACCTCAGCCAAATGTCAACAGAATTTTGGGTAAGGCAGAAAAGCTGCTTCTGGCCAAGAGGATACCTCTCAGTGCAAGAGAATTCCCAGCTGTAAACAGTGGGAAGAAGAGAGCATCTTAAAGTAAAAAATTACAAAAATCTTCAGTAATGGAGCCTAAATCCAGAGTACTTGTCATCCTTTTGCTCTGGATCATGCCAACATGGAGAGCTAGCACTTCATCCTGAGTCTGGGATATGTGACTGGGTGTGTGTGTACACAGCAGCCAGGAGAACTTTTCTCCTGGGCCCCATCGGTATGGGCTGGGCTGGCACTGAGTGGGCTAAATGAGACAGCAGTCTCAAGAGACAAATTCTGCTCCTAATTAGTCCAATCCACCTTATTGATGTCAATTTGTCCTAGCATTTCCCTCGCTGTTGATGAGCTACTATCCAAAGAATTTGAAATCAAATGTTTCAATGCCAGTCACAGAGCCATAAAAAAATGACTGCTTCTCAGAGGACACCTTTAAAGTTCTTGAGCTATATTACGGATACATTTTTGGTAATCTGATGAATAAATATTTTGGGCTGAATTAAGTCTGGGTTTAGCTTTCTTAGTCATGGGTGGATTTTTGTTCCCACTTGAGAACTTGCAAGGAGTAAAAGAAATCAAAATAGACCTAATGATTTCAATTAAACATCTTATATTTTTGTAGTTTTTTTAAAAAAACTATTACATTTGCACTGAAATGTTTTAAGGTTAATAGATTACCTCTGAACCCCAAGGAAATCAAGCTTCCTGTGCCTGCCTGTCATTTACTGGAGTGGTTACTTATCTGTCAATATTTCTTCCTTTTTTTCAAGTCCCAGGCCTACTTGATCTTGTCCATTTGGCACTGCTGGAGGAATAACAAGTTTCTTCCCATCATGCACCTTTCTGGGATACATCATGACAGAGAAATCTCAAAGCCCAGGTCAATTATAACGGAAGATGTGTAGCACCTCTGCCCCCACAGCGTCTTCTGGGGATCCACTCAGCAAAATGATATAAAACTATTTCTGAAGACTTCTCATGGTCTGGCACTACTTAGAACTAAGTAACTGGCAAAATGTAAGGAAATATACATATGCACCTCAGCTCACCTCCCGCTCTGGCACTGAGTCAACTAGCGTATGTACGGGGAGGAGCCTGAGGCTGGCAGATTCCTCACTGTACAGTAATTACTTTTTAATTAGAATTCATTGAATAAGAGATAGATACCTTCCGTACTTTCTCCCACTGATGATTTTAATATTCCCCTGTCAGGTATTATGAGGCAGTAGCTGACAGTGAGTTACATGAAGTAATCCTGTAGCTGGTAGCGACTTACATAAAGTAACCAACTTAACCATTCGTCTTAGGTAAAATATGATCCCCATCCTTACTTCTTTCCGTGGAGTCTGTCACTGGCGTGTTAATGTAGTGTTTGTTTACTCTCATTCCTGCAGGAGGAAATATCATAGTTCATGTATCAAATTACTGTAACTGACTGGAGCATTTGTATTTAAAATAATGTATAGTGATATATTTTCATAGTGTCGTTGATGTATTTTCAGGACTTCTAATTTTTGCAAGTATATAATCTGAATATCATTTATCTGAGTGTGCAGTTGTAAAATCTGTGGTAATATCTGATCTCATTATAAAAATCAGCACTTAAGAATGGACTAGAGTAACTAAATCTGAAACTGACTGGATATTTGTGGTATTTTGATAGAAATAAGAAAAAAAGTCAGGTTTTTTTTCTTTTTGCTGCAGGGCCTCTAAACACAATCTGACATGTGATGTATTTTTGAAGTCAAAGTTAATAATTCTCTTTACATAAAAAATAAATACCCCCTATTGAATACATGCTCTAAAATTAGAATTGCATATTTCTAAGTAATATACCTAAGGAAAATGATTTATTCTAATACAATAATGGCATAGATTTACAAAGCTTGAGTGATACAATGTTTCTCGTTATGGTTGTAAAATATTTGTTGCCACTGTGGGATTTTCTAGATCATTATTTTAAAAAAGGAAAAACCTACTTTGACAGATGAACTGGGGCCATTCTGAGCAAATCACAGATACTTCATATAACAAGGCCTCCAAAGAGGGGAGCACAGACTTATTACTATGGCAACCCAGATCAAAACACTATTTTAGTGGAGAGTTTCCAGTTTTACAATGCAGTGATGATTGTTTATAGTACTATTGAAACCAGATTCAGCAAAGGTTCAAGAAATGAGCTGACAAAAGGAAAATCATTACAGATAAACTGGGGATATGTGAATGACATATTGTGGAATCTGCTATTATTTGATCAAATGATGAAATTGTTACACAAACATGGATAAATAATAGTAGATGATACAGTGTGATGGACCCTATTTTGTTTGTTGTGTTATATTGTATAATGATGGGTTCAGTACTGAGAAACAAAAAAGCAGATTTAATAATAGAAATTACTTAACTTTGGAAAAAACCTGTCTATTAATTGTCTCTAATAATTTATAAGATCAGAATTGCTTTCATTCCCAAATCATTTAGTAACACCTACATAATAACAAGCATCACCTACACCTGGTGTTTAAACAGCACCTCTGGTGGGGTGCTTTTTCTGGAAGTGCATCAGATGGCACATGGGCTGGATAATAATTAATGGCTGGATAATGCTTAATCCTATATCAGCTAATCAGTGCTTAAAAACTCTTAGTCCTACAGCAGTAAACCTCTTCAAACCTCTCTCATATCTGCAGTGCCAGTGCAAGAGGACTTTTTTTTTGTGGCAATAGCCCAGGAGCAACTCTGGGTACCTTCCAGCTGGTTTCTGCCTTGTATCTGCTGGCTCAGAGAAATGAGTTGGTTATTAACCTCCTTCCTTGCTGTAATGGTCCTACTGGTTTCAGTATAGGAGCCACAGGAGTCTGGGGACAGTGATCTGTTTTCTGCTTAGGATTATTTCTCAACACAAGAACCATGGAAAAGATTACTTGTTCTGGCTTCCTTCCAAGTTCATGCCATCCTTCACCTCAAGATCTTGAGCAAATCATGACCATTCTCTTCACCAACCTTCTTTCTAGCCCCACTTCTCAACTTTATAACAATAATACTCAAAATCCTGACTTCACCTGTCCATGTAACTGGGGCAGTGTGGTTAAAGCCTCTGCTCCCACAGCATGAAAAGAAGATGCTCCTAGTGACTTCTCTAGGGGCTATAGAAGCAGCTCCCGTGTAGGAAAAATATCTGAGAAAAAAATCTGGAAAGAAGAAAGGTGAATGAAGACAGATCCCATCAAATTTCCTATACCTGTAAACAGTCTGATCATGCCTGAGCATGCCTCTGGCACAGGTCTTCGCTCTGCAGGATGGAGCTTGCTTCTTGCTTGATGTTTCTCTCAGTGGGACTGGTGGATGGGACAGCTCTGAGACCAGTAGGGCCCTGGGACCTCCTGAGATGGGGTCTTACTTCTCCATCCCCAGAACAGTTTTCTTCATGGGATCCTCAAGGTGAAAGTGTCTGTAAGCTCAGGGCAGTTTTATTCCCTTAAAGAAATAAGAGATTTACTTAGAGAAGCCTTTAATAGTTGGACTGAAAGTATAAAGTGGATGAAATGTTTTCAGAAAGGTGATTTACTATGAAGTTTGTATATTATTGTGGGTGGAGAAGCTTTAGCTCTTCTTGGAAGTTTGAAGCAAAATTTTGCCTTACATTTGATATTTCAGATGATTCAGGGAAAGCATTTTCTAGTGTAGTCATACTTGGACCAGAATACAAAACACATCCTTTAGTAAACTGTGAAGCTTTAACTTGTTCAAATGACACTTAGCCAGCAAATCATTTTGAACTTGGAAGCATTAGAGGGGTCACATTTTTATACAGCTGATCTGCTGCTGAACAATCTTTTTTTAGGCATTAAGAACATCCAGCCTTTTTTCAACACAAGATATCATGCCTCATCCCTGAATTACATTTTCCTGAGTTTATGACCATTTCAAGGAAAATCAAGCCACTCCATTAACATCTGAGACCAGAGCACCCTTCAAAAATAGAAACCAATGGAGCAGTTAATGGTATTTATTGCTGTTCCCTAGTGCACTTGTATTTTCTCTGCCATGCGAGGACTATTCAGACATCATCATACAAGTAACAGGAGTGTACACTTTGTCTCAACTCCTCAGAGGTGCCATTGGCACATACTTAATCATGGAGCAATTATAATCTAAAAGATGTCCCAGAATACAGATTGAGTCCCCACGTAAGTATAAGGAGGCGGTGAGTGTTTTCCACTGTTCATACACTCTTGCCTTTTCCATCTAACCTCACAAGCATCTGTCTTCAGCCAAGAAACGGCGACAAGGATGTCAACAGCTGTTCTGTTCAGCCAAGAACAGTGCTGATGTTAAAGTTTTCCAAGATCACTGATGTCCTAAATTATTAATCAAGGGCCTCAGAAATAATTCTGCTGACAGACTACTTATGAAGCTTGTCTCCTGTCTTCAAAGTATGGTCAGTTCCCTGTCATGCAGCATGGAGCACGGATGAAGGCTGCTGCTCAGCTGGTGAGGACTGTGTTAGTCACTTGGAGATCATAAGAAACATCTGACAGAAATGGCCAATGTAACCTTAGGTCCCTCACTGCCCCTTCGTGTTTTTTTGGCACAGTTACATTTATTTTGGAATGTCTCCATATAATATGAATCTCCAGGAGTTCTTGTGACAACAGTGGGAAAGAATATTTTTGCCTTTATTCATCCTTGCTCATCAATACTTACTTCTGGTTATCCAGCTTACGTGGTTGCCCTGTATGGTGGATATCCTGTGTGGCCAATGGTAGGCAGCATCTGCAAACTATAGTCACTTGTTTCCTTGATATTTCTGATAGTGCTTCCCATACAGAGGATACCAGAAAGATGGTTTCTGTCTTCCTATGGGAGTTCTTGATGGCTGAGATAACCAAGACAGTAAAGATACCAGTCTTCTCATTTAATGAAAAGAGGTGTACCAGCACAGACTCTTTTTTTTTACCTTAGGCCCCGTTCAGTCTGACTTACATTCTCTTGGTCTTCAAGCTCTCTATCAGGTCATTGTCTGAGGTCTCTGGTAGGTGTTGGATGGTGAAAGTGGCCTGAGCCTTAATTTTTCCAAACCAGTTTAAAAAATCTGAAAATACAAAGTGAGCTCATCATTTTGATATTAAATAGAAACAATCTTCAAGGGGAAAAAACACCCATCCAACACCCCAGTTATGACCATTGCATGAAACCCCTCATAGGCTGAACAAAGCAGGAATATGAAAATGTTGAATATGAAAATAAGTCTATGAGATAGAAACAGAAAAACCTGCTGGCTCAGAAATTTCTCTGTTCTCCTCTTGGTCATTTCCTTCAGCTCAAACTCTCAACAACAACTTGTATCAGCCAGAATGTCTTAAGCATTTTATCCCATCCCACAGAGCAAGTAAGGCCTTTGTTTAACAGTAGCTTCCTGATACAAAATATCTCATAAATTTGAAATGCAAAATGGCTCCTGCATTTCAGAAAGCTGCCCAGTGAAGATACCTCTGTGAGGCGTAACAGTGGCTCTGGGGAAGACTGTCTTCGAGGAAGAGCAGCACAGAACCAGGTTTGCATGGGTTTCTGCTCTCCATCACTCACATATATGTTAAAAAATAATTGCATAACCTGATCATTTCCGTGCTTAGAAGTCAGCACAGCTTTATTCCTAACCAGCTCCCCTGCCGCAGGATAAATCCTCTCCATCTATCTCATCTATCAGCTTTGTGTAAGTGTTCCATCCAGTTCTCGGGACTGTTTTTATCAACAAGCACTGTCAGGTTAAAAAGTGGATGACTTAACTCTACAAGCAATCTGAAGAATTCAGTGCCACAGAAACATGCTTAATGCTGGATAACCATCCACCTTTCCCAAGTGAATTTTTAATGGCTGAGTCTGCCTTCCATAATGTGCCGAGCAAAAGGAGCTGTGATTAAACCCCACACTCCGTGATTTCCATCCAAAATTTTCCGCTCAGTGGTAACAAAATCTTATGTAGTTTTCACTAAACTCTCCTCCAATTTCCCACTGGCTTTTACTATGTGCAGATAATTCAGAATAAAGCCCCTTGTCACAGTAATATGTAATCTAGCGTAGCACGGAGGAGCTGTTTCACCATGTAAAAGCCATATTGCCAAGCTGTATTATGCTTTACCTGTCACCATGCCAGGAAACATTTAACAAGGAAGGAAAACAAGGAGAGTGAATGTGTTGCCAGCTATTCAATATAAGCCATTTACTGTTAAACTGTGGCAAGGTGCTGGAGTTTAAATGTACCCTGGTTTTCTTCTGATACCAATAGCAAAAAGCTGAAAGGTTTTGCACTGTTGAACCACTGTTCAGTGCTGCTAATTTGGATCTGGACCATCTCACTAGGTCTTTACGGTTCACTGGTCTTTCCTGAGCCTCAAGGGGTTTTTTTGTTTGTTTGTTTTCAAAAGGTTTATGCTCCAGAAAGTGAGTGTTTGGCCGAGTGACCAGTTTCTGTTTCTGTGAAAAAGGGTGGCCCAGACTGCTTGAGTCCACTGACTGCCTGGGTATGCAGGTACAAGGCTCAGTCTCACTCAAAAACCAGGACAACTTCTTAGGTACAAGTGTCTTGCCATTGTAATGCCTCCATCATCCTGACAGTCCAAAGCCCTGAGGTGCTTTCTGGGGCTCCCCATGCAAAAAGTGAACAGCTAGGCCTTTGAACAGCCCTAATACTCACTAACAGAAAGGGGTAGCATAACTTTTCCCTTTTGGGGGATATCCATCAGGGTCACCCTTCAGTTCTGCTTCTTGCTGCAGGCACTGTCTGTGCTGTCCACATGAAGCACTAGTTTGGTGAAAGCCGTGGAGCTGGGACTGTAGGACGTGTCCTCCCTTTAGGTAAGGGAGAAAAACAGCCTCTGCAGTGTACCTGGTCCTGGCATCTGTTAAATTGAACTTTGTCTTACATTCTAGAAAATGGAGTGACTTTGGTGGAAAGAATCAGATGTGCCTTTATGCAGCCCTGCTCTGGACAGGTCTACAGAATGGTAGATCTGCTTTCAAGGTACTGCAGGTAGAAGAGGGGACAGACTCACAAGTCCGGCGTTCAGCAAGATGATCTGGTATAAAGCACCACCCAGTAAGTCTTAGTAAGTAGCTATGTAGTTAAGCTGTGACATTATGGGTATTTGTATTTTGTATGACTCAATGCTTTTATTGTTTTAATTGTTTGGTTTCTATGTGGTTGCACTGGGCTGTTTTTGGAGCACACTGGCAATGTGTGCTTTTGGAGTAAAAACTCAGACCGTGGATGCAGGGTAGTTGAAGGAGTAGCTCATAGAGAGGGCCTCTGCCAGGCTTTGTCCTCCTGAAGCGTGGAGCTGTGTGCCTCACTTCAAAATGTCCTGAAGACTGGTTTAAGTACTGCTCTGAAACCCGGAGAGACCAATGACTGTTGCAAAAATGACGTTGATGAGTGTTTTGCAACAACCTTGTTATAATGTGATCTACTGCGATTGGGTGTGTTATTCTGCCACTTGAGCACGTGTCACTGTAATATGGTTTGAATCCAGGGCACGAGGGGATTGAGGTGCCCTCCATTTACAGTTGTTTCCATGTAGGAACCTTGAGCTACAGGGAGGAAGATCTGAGCTAGGCAAGATATTATTGTCTGAGCGAGACCCCTTGAGGACCTTATAGTGCATAAAATGTGGGTGAACAAAGTGTGGCTTACACAACAACTCTGGGCCTCTCTACAGAGGCTTCACTGGGGACTGGGGAAGAACAAGGCTGCTCTGAGCCGCATGAGCTGTGGGGGAACTGGCAAGGCTGGTGCTGATGGCTGTACCTGGGCTTCTCCTTCCCCTGCTGCCCCTGTAACGACTCCTCAAGCCACAGATCTGACTGATCCTCCCATTCTTTTTGAGTGCTTCAAAAAGACTATTTCAAAGTGGAAACAAAAGGTCCAATTAGATGCAATCAGCAGTTCTGTCTCTCCTTCCTCTCCCCAATGGTGCTGCCTCACTGACCCTGGCAGTCATTTTATTAGTCCCCTCTTGACTGGGCTCTGAGTCTCCCCACCTGGCGCTCCACTGCTAATTGGTACAATTAGCCTCTCCCTCCCTGGGCTAATTGCTAAAGACTGTCCCACCATTCTCATGGGGACCAGAAGAAACTTGTCTGCAACCACAGAGATAGCAAGGGGAAAGAGGGCAGCTGGGATGGACTGGTTTGCTGTTATCCATTCTTCTCACATTCGTTCACACAAAGCTCATAACTCTTTCTCTGCAAAACATATAACATTTCTCTGGTTCATACTGCCAATAAAGTAACAAGCTCTGCAGCACCAGGGGTAGTCGTAGGATCTGTAGGGCCCTTCGTGGCATTTGAGCACTTGGGCTGCTAATATGCACAAGGTAAAACTCCTTAGCTGTCTGCCCAAGGTCTTTGTAAGACATGTTTTATGCAAACACCTGTCTGGAGAATATTGCTGGAAGTTGCTCAGAGGCTTGCAGTAGTAGAAAAGTTAATATCCAGATTGTTTAAAAGGAGCTGTGAACAAAAGCCCTATTGGCTCTTCAAAAGAATAGTGTGATCTCTTTACAAAAAAAAATCATGCTCTTGAAACTGCTACATGTTTAATATTAATACAAGTATTTGTTTGTGACTTTATTTGAAATGGCTTCAGATGACAGTTGTCCTCTGTTGTCCTCAGTAGATAGGGAGCTTTGGTGAGAAGAATCTGATTAGAATTAGAGAGTACATTTATAAAAGAAAATATTGAAACTGCTTTTTCATACTGGGACCTGATAGTATTTAATAATACCTTCACTTTTCTAAAAATACATTAATTAGTTCTATAAATTACACTACTGCTTATACTGTTCATCACTGGCCATTAATATAACTGGGATGAAAATCTGATAGTTGACTGAAGCTGACCACCAGACCTGCAAGGGCACAAACAGTATCCCTGACTCTCAGCAGAGGGCTCGGGGGTCTCAACTGAACTCTTGGAATGCAGGCGAGATCTGCACGCCGGTGCCAGGGTGGCTGAAGGGGGTTTGTCACTCTGTGCTTCACTTGCATAGAGGTAGTTGTTGGGACCTTACAAGGTACAGCGAGCTGCCTCCAAACAGTGCTCATCGCACGTGTGCGTTCAAGGGGACAATATCCAAGCAGACCTGCCAACAACAGAACTAGGTTATTTTCTCTCCAGTGTAAGTAACATTTAGTCAGTGAAGTGTCAGAGTCCAGATTTAAAGACAGCTCTACAGCCACACTAAGGAGAAGAATAGGAGTCGATAAAAATCATCTTCGTATGGGTAAATCTTGTGTAAGCTATCCTAGCTGAAATTGGTAGGTAAGGATTTAGTAGTGTGCTTCGGGATATGACTTTCCAAATACATGGATCCAGACAAGCGCTGGGAAGTTTTCTCCCATGCGTGTCTGGAGCTTTTGACACGTTCACAAGTGAATCCAGCAGAAGACCAGAGTCAGCTCAGTCAAAGATCAAGCTAAATCGGGTGACACCAGAGCTGGTCTCATGTACTCAAAGAGCTTTGCCTGCATGGAAATGATTTTGTGTAGGTTTGACCTACAGTAAAACACCCTGCCTATCCAGGGAAAGGGAGGAGCAGAGAGGGAGTTCCTTGCAGTTTGCACTTGTCAACCTGGAGATCATACCCCTGTAGATTATGCCATGTAAATAAGTACTCTCTTCTTGTGTAGATACTCAACTTATCGTTTGCCAGGCAAATGAAGTGGTGTTTAGGGCTTAAGCAGTGGGTTTGTTGGTTTAAATTCTCAAAAAATAGTGGTGAACGTACACTCTTTGTGTTCAGCTAAGAGAAGCTAAGGGAATTAGACAGAAAAGAGATCGCTGAGCAGTTGGTTTTATGGACAGACCCTAAAAGAAAGAATACCTGGGGATGAGGTCTTTGCTGTTGTTGAGGCCATGTGTGAATGAGCAGAAGCTAAGTTTCTGTCAAGCTTGATAATGTGGCTAGTGTTTTCCAAGAGTTACTGCATTTTCCTAATAAAATGACCTCTATGAGATGAGGCAGTGTTTATTTCAAGCTATATGATGTTTTGCACTATCCCAGCTTCTTCAACCCTCTTCAGGTTTGACCTCAGTTTTTCAAGCTGTGTTCATCTCATAAAACTATTCATATATCCAGGCACGGGGATGTACATCAAGATATAGTTTGTGGATAGACAGTGACACTTAGGAAAAAAACATCAGACCAGGAAAACATCTGCCATGAACAAAGGTTTAAGGAACTATTCTTATCTCATGAAGAAGATGGATGGATGATGCAGGGTGCTTCACTGGCTTTGCTGTGAACTTTACACTGTGGTGCTTGCGTGGGGAAGGCTATGCAGTGAGGGGGGCAGAGGTTGGCACAAACAACCTGAAGCAAGTGGGAGGTAGGTTGGGCCACTCTGAAGCACTCAGTGCCCTTGAGTAAGTGGCTTGACTTGCTCATTCCTTAGGGTGACCTTGGACAAGGCTCTTAAATTCCTTTTCCTCCGTCAACCCAGCTGGTGAATTTGTTTGGGGGGCGAAGAAACACCAAAATGACATTGAAAAGCAAGCTGTGCCCCTGCATTGCCCTTTCCAGGGTAAACAAATCATACCCCAACATCCCCCCCAGCCCGCCATCGGGGGTTTTCAGTGTGTCCTTTGTGGAGCCCTGTGGAAAAGCCTGGATGCCACATAAACTACACAAATGGTACACTTGCATATTCAAATATAGCACGGTGTTTGTTCATCTCTCAAAACGTGTGTACAGTACTGATCACTGTATTATCTGTGTGCTTTCTGCTAATTAGGAATGCAAATATAGAAAGATTCTTCTCCTTTCCTCCTTTTCCATAAGCAGAAAAAAAAGCATTACTTTTTCTCTTCTGTTACCTTTTCCTTGATAAAAAAAAGCTAGATATAATAAACCAGCGTATTCAGCATCTAGTGGAAAGATAATATTATAAGTTGGTTTTCCTGAAAAAGGACAGTTTTATTCATTGGCTAACAGAAAGCATTACTTTTACAGTTCAGGGTAGCAACTGCTATAATTCTGGTCGTATTGTTTCTTCTGGCAGAGAATAAACTCTCTCTCTTTTTTTATACCTAGAGGTGAGTTTTTACTCTTTCTCTTTGAATTATACTGGTGGTCATCAGAGTGGTGGTGGAACAAGAGTGTGATGTTGCTGGAGTACTTCAGATGTAGTTGCTCAAAGCACTGCCACTATAATTCAAAGTGAAGAGAGTAAAACTTACAGCAGGCGATCCAAAATGGAGGACACCCAGGTCTTTGTTTACTGTCCTCGTCCTCCTTCCCTTTGGGCAAGAGCCAGCGTCTGACATGTGCGTTGCTAGGTACATGGAGTTACCCAGCCAATTACACACCGCTGCAACACGCCAGGCGGGCGAGCACAGGGAATGGGGAGGAGAGGGCCAGGCAAGAAAAGGTGCCCCTGGTGCCATCTGGGGACACTCAGAGTCACTGGGCAGTGCAGGGTGGTGGGACTCTCGTCAAGACCAGCGGACTGATTTAGGAAATAAGGATTTGAAGACGTCTCTTCTAGATGAAGAGCTGCACACCTGTAATCATCAGCACTGCTAAAAACTAGTTGGGGTGAAAAGAAAAAGGGAATGTGTTTCCATGCTTTTTCACCCCTAAACTCACGTTTTTGCACATTCTGCAAAATATGTAAGCAGATTTGTACTTTTATAAACCTTACTATAAGTCACAAAATTTTACTTTGTCTATATTCCTAGAAAAATGTGTATTTATATGTAGGGGATCTGGGTCAAAATCAGGGATATCGAAATCCAAAAGTTTTGAAGACATTTCAGAATTTGTGATGCTGTCATCTGCAGCTCCCCTTTGTATTTGTTTCAAGAAGGGATTCTGGGGAAGAGTCATATGATTTATTGTAATCATTCTAAAACATATAATAATTCCACAAAATTACTCAATCCTTTTTCTTTATCCATTGGGTAAAGTGTGGATGTTGTCCCCATGGATCTGAATGCGTGCATTTGGCACAGATATATCCCAACATATAAAAACAGTGACTTGGACATGCACAGAGCTCTTTTGAACAGCTGAGCACACCTTCTGCTAATTTTCTTGAA